CGGTAGGCACGTGGGTGGCGCTCTGATGTGAGAGGCACTGGGACCCACGGTGCGGTTCCCGGCCCAGCATCCCATCTGCTGCTCTCACTCCGAGGCCCCGCTGGGCTTGGCTCCTGCGCCCCCACCCCGACACGAAAATAGGCCCCAACATCTGTGTTGCGGGAAATACCGTGTGATGTGCCACACGTTTTCCCGGGAATGAGAGATGATTCTGGCAAACGTGCAAGTGAGATATGAACATGGGGTTCTCAGAATTCTTCCCCTAGACACCTGCAGAGGATAAGCCTTAGCCCCTGGCTGTGGGAGCCCCCGGATGCCTACGTGGTGACGTCTGTGCTGGGAAGGTTCTGGAAGAGCCGTGGGCCTGAGGCTCAGCCCTGCCTGGTGTTCAGAGGCTTTGCTTTCAGGGGCCTCTGGGCACCCACCCACTCCGTGATGAGGCCCAGGGCGCCGGGATGGAGACCCGTTCCCATACGCAGCAGGACTGGCTTCCAGGATCACGTCCCCTGCCCATCCCGACGCCCTGACCGAGTGCTCAGGCTCCGGGCCCTAAAGCCCTCAGCTTTGGACAAGGGGCCAGAGGGAGCTGGCTGGGCATCAGCGGGCCCTGGGTTCGCCAGGAGGCCTGGGGGTGGGGTGGGGAGGAGAGCGGCCCCGGGACAGACCCGACGGCACAGCCTCACTATGTCAGGATGAGCCCTGCTAAGGCGGTGTCCTGGCGCCCTCCGTGCCTGAGGGGAGGCACTGATAGAGATTCGTTATGTTCTGCACCTGCCAGGGGAGAGTCAGGTGTTAAAAAATAAAATTCATCCCCAGCCGGCGGGGCTCAGGGGTTGAGCGTCGACCTATGAACCAGGAGGTCACGGTTCGATTCCCGGTCAGGGCACTGGCCCAGGTTACAGGCTCGATCCCCAGTGTCGGGTGTGCAGGAGGCGGCCTATCAATGATTCTCTCTCCTCATTGATGTTTCTCTCTCTCACGCCCATTCCCTTCCTCTCTGAAATCAATAAAAACATTAAAAAAATTCAACAAAGTATTTTGGAGATCTCAGTGGCATCGATGTGTTGACCCCAATCGTGCGGTTTATAGACCCTAGAGCAGTGATGGCGAACCTATAACATGCGTGTCAGAGGTGACACATGAACTCATTTTTTTTGGTTGATTTTTCTTTGTTAAATGGCATCTAAATATATAAAATAAATATCAAAAATATAAGTCTTTGTTTTACTATGGTTGCAAATATCAAAAAATTTCTACATGTGACACGGCACCAGAGTTAAGTTAGGGTTTTTCAAAATGCTGACATGCCGCGCTCAAAAGGTCCCCATCACTGCCCTAGATTCCTATGTTTGGGCATTGATTTCCTGGGTGTGGTCTACTCATGGTTTCGAGTAGAATATAAATGTGTGTTTACTCAGCAAAATAGAGACCACCGTAGGTGGTCAAACAGAAGGAATTTCATCCAGACGCTGGGACAAACGCGCTGCGCGAGGAGAGGATGCTGACAGGCCCGGAGGCGAGGGGCTGCCGGGCGCCTCTGCTGTCCCCGCCACGGTTAGAACTGAGCGGGGACAGAGCCCATCCCGCGGGTCGGTCAGCCACCGACAGAGGGCTCTTCCGGACAGAGGGGACGTGGGCTTCCTGCTCCCCCTTCCTACCCCCCGGGGTGGGGGGAGGTGGACTCGGGGAGCCGTGGGCAGGGCCAGGGACGGGAGTTGCAGGTGTGACCCCTGATGTCGGGAGAGGCCCACAGGGACGGGGTGTGCTCTTCCTCAGGCCATGGAAGAGGCGCTGCTTCCAAATGGGGGAGAAACCCGAGGACGAGGATGGCGTGGGACCTAGGAAACCGGGGATTCGCCCCCAGAAAGAGGCTGGAGGTGGTCAGTGGGGGGAAAGGAGAGCACGGGCAGCAGGTGGGCAGCAGCCTGGAGACTGCCGGCCGCGGAGCAGGAGGCCGCAGGCTCCGGGAGGAGGGTCTGGGGAGGAAGGTCTCTGGGAGGAGGGTCTCCGGGAGGAGGGCGCAGGAACCCACCCGGGATATGACATGTTCGGGTGCATCGGGGGAGGGGGAGTGTATGTCTGCCAGAGGTGGGGGACGTAGACGATGAGCACTTTGAGAGCCAGCAGGGGTAACGGAGGCCCGGGGAGGGCAGAAGGAGGAAGGAAGGAGCGTAGCCACAGTTCACCAGGTGGCCCAGCTTTTAATAGTCATTCCATGGCATGAGGGTGTGAATGAAGGTCGACTATTCGATTCAATAAAAATGAGATAAAGCATTAAGGAAGGGAAGAGAGAAGTTGTGTGTTGGGAAGAAGGGAGAGGTGAGAAGAGCTAAATCTTCATTGTTTATATTTAAAAGCTCATAGGTGATCATTAAAACTTAAGAATCAATAAATGTTAACAGAAGGTAAGTTATTTAGATACATGAAGATACAGCAAAGGGAAAAGATGGCTAACCTTGTTGAAAATGACCCCTGGGGAGTGGGCAAGGCAGACGAGGGTAATGTCTGTTTTTCAGTAGAGGCCTCGTAGTCTTAGCTTTACAAATCTACTCACTACATTCCTTTGATAAAATATGGGCACGACATTTTAAATCTAACAACTGAGAGACATTTTTGTCGGACTGGACAGTATCAGCTGTGGTTTAATGAGGCCACACAGACGCTGCCCCTGTCAAAGGCTTCTGAGGGCTCATGTAGGAAGCACACGTTTGCACTGTCCGCTCTGCACATAGGCCGTGGTGGCTGCTCAGGGGGCAGTTCCCGGTCCCTGTACTTCAGGTTCCCTTAAGGCCTAATTCAGACAATAACCAATGTGTTTTGAACCTTCTTTCCATACGATACTGAAAAGACTGAAGTTCTTGACATGTACTCTGGACAGCTCGATATGCTTCGGATGTTTTCTTTCTTTAAGAAAACAGGCGCTCTGCTCCCAATTTTATTGCTTTTTAGATCTTTTCTGTTTATCTGGTTCACAACCCGCCTATGTGTCTTGATTTGATGTCCATGTGAAGAATGGAATCAAATAAGGAATTCGGAGATGGAATAAAAATCCCCGCAAACCCAAGGCCATTGTCCGAGGAAAGCTGGGGAGGGGTGAGCTGGGGGGCTGCAGGACCTGGTCCCACAGGCGGACTGTGATACCGTCGTGCAACAGCTCCCCTGGGCCGTAGGTCTGGGTTAATGGGGTTCCAAGAGAAGGACGGTGAGGTGTCTGGGCTTTGGGATGAGAGCAGGACTCTGATTCCAGCCTGGTGTTGTCAAAGCAAGTCCATCGCGGGTCTCTCTCAGTTTAGTGGGATGTCTTGTTTCTTGACTGGGAGGTAAATCTTCTTTTCTTTGTTTCTTCTTGGTCTGAGAAACAGAGTTGGAGAGGGGAGAGGAAAATCATGAGGAGCTGCATACCAAAGTGAAGGGGATGCTAAGTAAACACAACAGGAACCGGGCAGGCTCGCCCAGCAGTGAGTTCCAGGGGGTGATCCTCACTAAGGAAATGTGAAGAGCTCGGTGAACAGCTGGTGTGGCTGGAGGGCTTCCTGAAACTCCGTGTAAGCCTGAGACGGGCCTGACCCATTACTGAAGGTGCTCTACCCTCCTCCGTAACCAGGAATGTGGGGAATGTCTAAATCGAATCCTTTCCAGTTAAAAATGAAGATTGCAAAACCTAGACACCGTTGTCATCAGTTCTCCAAATAGGATGTGAGAATTATTTTTTACCGAAGTTCATTTACTTTTCAACAGTTGGATAAATGAAAAATCTGTTCAAAAATTTGTTTGAAATGCATGTGTCTGAACCATCCTGTCTTTGTGGATGCTAGGGTGCTGCTGATTCTTGGGGGAGAGCTGTTTTCTTCCTTTTGTTGCGCTCAGACATGGTCTCTCGCCATGTTCCTGTTGGTAGCAGCCTTGGTTTGGTGTGTACATCCCTGAGCTGTCCTTTCCTGTCTCACGCTACGCAGAACATACTTTAAAAGTCAGTTTCCCATAAAACACCTAGGCCCATGTTTTCTGTTCTATAGGACAGCTGTGAGGACTTTTGTGAATACTAACAGCGGTTACTAGACACGTATGAAGTGCCAGGCACGTTGCATGGCTTTCTCATCTGGTCATTACAGAAACCCAGGACAGGAACTGATGTCCCCACTTCCAGATGGGGAAACCGAGGCTTGGCGTTAAGGCCACATGTTAGGAAGAGCGAGGGCCTGTCCTGAAGGTCGCGCCTCCCTCCTGACGGGCGGCTGGGGAAGGCCTGGGGACCTGAGGGAGGAGCACTGTGGAAGGAGCTCAGCATGTACTGCAGGCGACCTGGTGCGCACCTGCTTGGTGCTGGCTTTTGGATAGGACATTGCATGGGATACAGTCTGTCCTCAGGGTGGGGGGCGGGTGCTCGTGTGCAGGGGACACTGCACTGAGACCGGGGGACGGGGGACAGACATCTGGGTCCAGGACCTCAAGCTGCAATGTCTCCATGCACCAGGCAGAAAGCACAGATGCACCAGGCACTAGAGAACAGGGCAGGTGGGAGTATGGGGTATGGGGCAGAGGGTGGGAGTGGGGGGAAGGACATGCCCTCCAAAAAGCGAAGCCGTCACTCAGCTCCTGCAAGTTGTCAACGAGAGCAATGCCTTCTCAGCGTTACCCAGTCCTCTGCTTGTTTATTCATGTACCAGATGCTGGAAATTCAGTGGATGTACAACTTCCCCCTTAAAAGCTAGCGCGCAGGCCAAGCTAAGCGCTGAGATGCTGGCGTCCTGCGGCTGCCAGTGCGACCTCTGGCTGAATTCAAAGGCCTCGTCCAACTCTGAGCTCCAAGCTCCAGGAGCCCAGGCGCTGCGAGGCCTCAGGATGGCTCCGTCCTGAAGGTGTTCAAGCGCACGCTTTGTAGGACGGGCAGACTTGGCCCCAGGGGCCCCATGTGGAGTCCGGATAAGGTAATAAAAATATCGAAGCATATGGCACAAAGCAAACTTGTGGGGCGTATGCCATCTACATTTCTCTTAAATTTTAAAAAAATTTACTTTTTAAATAGGTTTGTGTGGTTCAACATCCAGAAAGTACCAACAAGTATGTATTGAACCCAGCCGACGGGGCTCAACGCTTGAGCGTCGATCTATGAACCTGGATGTCACAGCTCGATTCCTGGTCAGGGCCCATGCCTAGATTGGGGGCTCGATCCCCAGGGTGGGGCGTGCAGGAGGCAGCCGATCCATGATTCTCTCTTATGGTTGATGTTTCTCTCCCTCTCCCTTCCTCTCTGAAAAAAAGAAAAAAAAAGCACGCATCGAAAGTCTCCTCCCACCTGGGACCCACAGCCCCCAGTCCACGGCAGCCCGTGTCACGGTGCTCGCAAAGCCTTCCAGAGACACAAGCAAATATGCATATATACCTCATGCATATGTATGTTCTCACTCTCCCCCACCAACGTTAGACGTACACTTTCTATTTTGTGCATTTTTTAAATAATGTGTCTTAGAGAACTTTCCTTAGCAGTGCATATAAAGTGGGTTCATTCTTTTTGTTGTTGTTAATCCTCACCTGAGGATATTTTTTCCGTTGATTTTTTAAGAGAGAGAATGGAAGGCGGGGGGGAGACAGAGGGAGTAGCATCTATGGGAGAGAGACACATCAACCAGTTGCCTCCCGCCTTTGACTGGAATTGAACCCACGGCCCTTCAGTCTGCAGGCCGGTGCTCTAACTACTGAGCACCTGGCTAGGGCTGCTGCTTTCTTTTTAACGGCCATATGATATTCTCTTGAATCACGTACCATAATTTATATAACTGGTCTCCCACTCAACAGGCATTTGGGTTGTTTCCAGTCTTTTGTTATATTAAGAAAAATTACCTTAAAGAATCGTCTTGCACATATGTTTTGCATATGTAAATTCTGGAAGTGTGGAGTTGCCAGGTAAAAGGATATGCCCCTTTGCAATCTTTATCCTATTGTCATATCGCCCATCAGAGAGGTTTCCAATCTGGAATGTAGGCCCCTGTCTCCCCATTCTCTCCTGACACAGATGTCCCCCAGCAGTGCGATCACCAACCATCCCAGCGGCTGTCCGAGCAGTGAGTGTCTGCCCTTCTCTTATTCAGAAGGAGGTCGAGCTTATCGCCGTGTATTTCAGAGCCGTTTTTGTGTTCGCAGAATTATCTGTTCACACCCTTTGCTCGTGTTTTCCCGTTGGGTGGGTGCTTTTATGAATGGTTAGAGCTCTTTCCACATTGAGGACGTTAACCCTTCGTGGAGGAGTGCGTGTTTTCTCGAAGGTTGTGATATTATTTAAGCTTAGAGTCGTTTTTCCAAGCAGAATTTTAATTCTCATGAGGGCAAGCTCATGGATCTTTTCTAAGTGGGTCCCGGTGTTCGGGCCGTAGTTACAAGCTCCCCCGCACTGGGAAAGCAGAAGGTGTTCTCCCGCAGTATCTTTCTTACTTTACGGTTCCTTTTCCGTACTCTCAGGTCTGACTCTGTGCGAATGGCTCTCTCTGTGTGGTGTAAGGTCTACATCCTCCCTCATCTTTCCTGCCACTGGCCCCAGAGCTGGCCGAAAGCACGCAGGAAGCAGTGCGTGTGGGAATGTCAGCTCCTACCTCCGCAAGTTCTCAACCTCCTCGATCGTCTCCGGCAGCGTCTGCCCTCTGGTCTCTGGCAGCAGCAGCACCAGCCCTCCGGCGACCAAGCCAACCGCCGCTGAAAGGCAGGCACATGGGAACCAGTGTGAGAGGGGACACTCAGCTCGGCCGGTGTGGCTCAGTGGCTGAGCGTTGACCTCTGAACCAGGCGGTCACAGTTCGATTCCCGGTCAGGGCACATGCCCAGGTTGCGGGCTCCATCCCCAGTGTGGGGTGTGCAGGAGGCGATTCTCTTGCATCATTGACGTTTCTATCTCTCCCTCCCCCTTCCTCTCTGAAACCAATAAAAACATATTAAAAAAAGAAGGGGACATTCTGACGCTATAATTAGAGCTCCCTTATCCCTTAAGATTTGTCTGTGGCGTTTCCTCTCCTTACGCATTTCTCTGCCCTCTGACAGCCCTACTCTCCACCATAAATATTGTGCGGATCCCAAAGTCCGCTGGAGTACAATTCCTTGTAGGGAAGTGAAACACTGCAACTCACATTTGAGTTGAGTTTATTCTAGGCGAGAACCTTGCCATAATATTAAGATACTTTGGAGTTAGAAAATAGCTGTAAAAGAAAAAAAAACAACTCTAAGAAAAGCAAGAACAGAACCTGGCCAACACAAAGCACTTAGCGAGGAAAACTGAGTCAGAAACCTGGCAAATAAAGTGATGGTTTGCTTTTAAAAGGGTTACTGTGTATGTAACAGCTTTCAAAAGCATAGCTGGGACTTGGATTTCGACGAATTCAGGTGTTTCAAACATTTTTTTGGTTTGTTTTTGCTTTGTCTCCAGCTCTAATTTTTTGTATATGTTGGGAGTGGTGGTGAGGGTGGGTAGCAAACTTGTAGTGTTTTTGTGTCTTTAAATTCCCATTAAAGTGTTGGGAGCTAAAGTTATATTTGTACTAGTGGCCCGGTGCACGAAATTCATGCACATTACAAGGGAATTAATTAGAGGAAATATTTTAATATTGCTATTGGCCCTTTCTCTCTAATAGAAGTATCTGGCTGGCCCACCCCCATTGGGTGACACCAAGACCTGGCTGGCCCCACCCCCGTCAAGCCCTGCCAGGGTGGGGGGTGCAGCCTCGAGGGGCGGGGCTTCAGGTCCCCTGCCCAGGCCCGGTGCCACGCAGCTTCAGGTCCCTGCCGATCGGTCATTATGGCATCACGGTGTGACGACCATTTGCATATTAACCTTTTATTATTAAGATGCTTTAGGCTGGTAACATTGTAACAGCCTTTCCTCAAAGTGGTGCCGTGGAGGGTTTGTGTTTTCCACATCTGCCTGCAGCAAAGGCAGAAAGAGGGAGCCCTGTGCCAGGGAGATCGCGGAGGGCGGAGCAGGAGGAGAGAGCGGGGCTCCTGCGGGGAGCGTCCTCCCGCCTCGAGGTCTGACACTGACTTTGGGCCTCTGCGGGCAGGAGGCCTGATGGCTCCCACACTGGAGCCTTGGCAGCTGTGACAGGAGCGCTCATCCTGGTTTTACTAAGACGGGTTTAACTAACGCAAATAGTGCCACTCCTTACTAGTCGTGCTAGTTGTTACTCACAGGCACCTGTTTTGAGGTCGAAGAACGGAGGCCCCTAGATAAATAGGTTTTCATTCAAAGACACCTCAGAGGGTTTCTCACCAAAAATCACCAGGGGGAGCTCCTGCCAGATGCCGGTGAGCCGGTACACCAGGAAGGGCGTGAGGATGCCGCCAATGTCGCACATGGAGGAGCAGACGAGGACCCCGAGGTTCCTGCAGCAGAGAGTGGGGTTGACCTTTCACCTTCTCCCAGAGCAGCCGTGTCCCCAGCCTACCCTCACGGACACAGTCCCCCAAACCACGGAGGTGCCTGTGAGCTGGGAACAGCCTTCCCGGTATCCTCAGCTCACACACGTGATACACGGCACACATTTCCTTTGTATTCTGTTACACTTGTTGTCTGTTAACGTTCTTGAAAGCTTTAAATTGGGGGTGACTTTCACTTTCTGCTTTCACCCTGGCGTCCCTGTTTCTCTGGCCTGTTGCCATGGCTTCAGTAGCGGTCCCAGGGCCGTTCGATAACCCTCTCGCAATGCAGTGCCTCTCGTCTCAGCGCAGACTCTGTCCCCCGCCCCCCCCCCCAAAGCTGCTGGCATGGGCTGTGACCTGGCTCCTACCTGGGAAGGTGCCCGCCCTCTCTGACCTGCGTTTCCGTCAGTGAGGCGTCTGCTGCTGGCACCCCCGCTTCTAGCCAAGAAGCACCCAGCATGCAGGGGTGCAGGGGCTCACCTGATGAACGTGGGGTACAGCTCCGCGTTGACCAGGCAAACCATTTCGTAGGCCATTGTGATCCCCATGCGGCCCAAGCAGGCGACTGTGACTCTCAGCCACTGCAGGTCTGAGGGGAAACACACATGTGCACACCCCTGACTTTGACATGTGGGGTGTGGCGGGGGGGGTGTGGCGGGGGACAGCCCACATGCCAGTGAGGGACATGGTTCTTCTCCAGAGTCAAGGCAATGTCAGCAGGCACTCATGTCTGTTTAACTTCAGACACAACTCGAACAGGCTTTTCACCTGAGAGCTCCGTCTCTAGTGACAACAGAATTCTACCCGTGGCCAAGGCGGCCAGCTTTCGTCTATAGAGTCACACGGGAGAAACAGCGGAGTGTAGGCATATTTGGAACGGTTGCTAATGACCAAAGGGTTCAGGCAAAGCTCCGTGTGCGAGAGGACTCTGTTGGACGGGTTTTGCTCCCCCTCATTGAGAAGGTGTTTTGAGAGGAAAGAAAGGAGCTGGAGGCCTGTTCATTGGCAGCAGTCACTCAGGGTTGCTCATTAGTTTCGCAGGATGATGTGGGGAAGTCACAGCAGTTGCCTGAACAGTGTCTGGGACGTGCTGGGTAAGACTGAACCCTGGGTCTCCTCACCCAAAGCCCATCCCCGTGCTCCGGGCGGCCAGATGGCTTGTAGCATGGCCTCCTGTTTTATTAGAGGACAACTGGGTGTCATTATACTATGGCAGGCAACCATTGGGTGCAAATGTCCTTTTTTAAAAAAAATATTTGTATTGATTTCAGAGAGGAAGGGAGAGGGAGAAAATTAGAAACATCAATGATGAGAGAGAATCATTGATCAGCTGCCTCCTGCACACCCCACACTGGGGATCGAGCCTGCAACCCGGGCATGTGCCTTGACTGGGAATCGAACCCTGACCTCCTGGTTCATAGGTCGAGGCTCAGCCACTGAGCCACTCCAGCTGGGCATTGTGAGCGTACTTAAAGGCATATGTGTTTGTCATGAAGTTCCTGGATATTGGGTTCATTCCACCTCGATTTGGGTGATAGATTACCCCACTTCCTAGGACCTTGGCAAGCGAGAGCCTCGCTTGGCCTGGCACTTACCTTCAGGGATAAAAACCGAGGCCAGACAGGCCGCCCCCGCCACCATGTTGGATCCAGCCCAGGGGTAGCGGCGGCCAATGCGGTCAATGGTGAGGATGATGAGGAGGGCGGCTGGGAACTCCACCAGGGCGGAGTAGAAGAAGTCCAGGTAGACGTTGCTCCCTGCGAGGCCCATGTGCATGATGAGGCCCTGGTAGAGGACAGAGCCGGTGAACCTGGGCCAAGAGGAGAGCTCCGGTCAAGGCTGGAGGAGCAGTCACGGGAGGGGGGCTTCTGGGAAAATCAGGGTTGGCCCTAAGTCACCCTTCTTTTGTCATCTTATTACTACTACTAGAGGCCCGGTGCACGAAATTCATGCACAGTAGGGTCCCTAGGCCTGGCTGACAATTAGGGCTGATCTGTGGGGTGATCGGCAGAGCGATCGGAGCCCTCCTTGCACCCACCTTGGCTGGACTGGTGCCGCCAGCTCGCTGGCCCTGCCCCCTGCCGCTGCCAGTAACCTCCCTCTGTGGGGCAACCGGCAGGGCAATTGGGGTGGTCCCTGCTCATACCTGCCTTGGCTGGCCTGGTGCCACCTGCTTGCCGGCCCCACTCCCCACCAACGCTGGTCAGAGCCTGCAGCCTGGGGGCAGCTCCTGCATTGAGCGTCTGCCCCCCTGGTGGTCAGTGCACATCATAGCACCAGTTGGTCAATTTGCATATTAGGGTTTTCTGTACATAGATTCCCTCCATCCATTGCTTTTTCCCTATCTGACCACTGTGGCCTCAGCACCAGGACAGGGGAGGACCTAGGAACGCAACCTGGCCACGTTGGAAAGGCAAGAAGACATGGGAACGGGATTGATTTAGTAAAACTCTGCAGGTCCTGAGTGGCTGGTGCTTCTCGGTGGCCGCCTAATGCAACTGAGATCAAAGGACTGACGGCTTCGTTCACTGTTTAGGAAGCCGGAGGGCCCATGGGCACAGCTCTCTTCTTAATGACTTCTCCTGCTGTGATGCAAGGAATATTTTGACACTGTTTCTAGGTGTGTTGACGGAAAGTGTCCACTGTCTTAATGGGAAATATGAGGACAGTTTGCAAGAGCTGCAATTATTCAATTAAAGAAAGAAGAAGAATGAGGCCAAATTTCACGGCTGCATTTTTCCATGCCATATGGTGAAGGTGCCTAACTAATTCCCCACGGGCTTTGCTGTGCCAGTGACTGGACTGTGGCTCTTCAGGTGCTGGTGTGAGTCAGCACGTGGGCACTGGGAGGAGGGCCTGGTGCGGAGCCGTGGCTCAGCCCTCAGGGCAACCTGCAGGCTGCGGGCGCCGTCGGGCCCAAGTCACTGGCTTATTCTTGTGGCTCATTCTTGTTCAAAAGTGACTTCTCCAGGAAGAAGAGACAGAGCAAAGGCCCTTTGCCGGCCAGCCCTGTGCCGTCAGGAGAGAGCGACAGCGTCATCGGCTGAGCTGTACCCGGAGCTCTCAGTTTGGGCTGCGTGTTTTTAAAACGGTGGCTCCCAAGCCCTTCTCCCGATGAATTCAACGGTATCCTTGGCGGGGAGGGGTCTGGCCTTGAGACCTAAAAGCCGCCCAGGTGATTCCAAGGCGAAGCCCAGGTTGGGACCGTCCTGCGCGGCTTTGGAACTGGAAGTTGACGCCAAGTCTGCCTGAGGAGGATACGCCAGGGAAACGGCTGTCAACGGGCCCGCCTCGCTGTGCACCGTCCACACAACACTGGCACTAGGCTGTGTTGGATGGTATCTCGTTCCCTTCCACAAAGTGAATGATAAGGATTGAAAGAATTTAGAAGGATTTTATTTTATTTATGTTTCATTTAAAAAAAATATTTTTATTGATTTCAGAAAGGAAGAGAGAGGGAGAGAGAGAGATAGAAACATCAGTGATGAGAGAGAGTCATTGATCGGCTATCTCCTGCAGGCCCCACACTGGGGATCGAGCCCACACATGCCTCTGACTGGGAATGGAGCCCTGACCCCTGGTTCATAGGTTGACGCTCAGCCACTGAGCCACGCCGGCCGGGCTGCAGGGATCTTAAAGGGAAGAGCATTCCTTACCAGTTGTACATGAGGATCAAGGTGTGCTTCCTTATCTGCGGGGTTCGGACCAGGTCCAGGAACGAAGGGTTCAGCTTCTCGCCAACTTCCTCATCGGGCCTGAGGCACTAGCCACGAGAACCATTAGTATGTGGGGCGGCCCTGTCCCTGCGCCACACCGGGCAGGAGGGAGCAGCCGTCGTCCTGCCGCCTGCTGAGGGCTGTCCCTCCAGGACTGGCTCAGCCCGGCACACACCCTCGCTCCTCCCATCTTACAGCTGTCCCGGGAGTGGGGTTCTGGGGTTCCACCCACTTCCCAGGAGAGGAGTTGGAGTCCCGGGATGACCCAGGCACAGACATAAAGGGGCGCGATCTAGGCAGAGCCCGGTGGGGGAAATGGGGGCCACACGATGGCGTGAGAGACCGAGGAGCGAGGGGAAGAAACCTCCCGCGGGACCAGCACTGACCAGACTTCATGGCGGGGGTGTGAGCTGTGACCTCTGGCGGGCAGGGGCCCACACGTGTTTCGGTTCTGACCAATCTCCACAGGAGCCCAAGACCGGGACTGTCCAGGCATTGCTGGGAGGGATGTTTTCCCAGCCCCCCGAAGCCAGAGGGGAAGCGGGGGAAGGCCTGCGCCCCAAGTCCCCATGGGAAACGTCCTGTAAAATCTCAGATGCTGCCGGGTTACCTGTCTCAGCTCCTCAGTCAGAAATGATTGACTCTGATTTCGACACGATTGCCTAACAAGCTCGCTTTTCCCTTTCCCAGCCCCGGGGGGATGGAGGTGCGAGTAAAGGGGTGAGTCCGCTGGAGGCAGAGCGCGAGGCAGAGGAAGCGGCCCCAGCCCCGCTCCGCTCCAGAAGGCAGGCTGCTCAGAACGGCTCGACACTCCCTACCCAACGTCTTGAATTCTAAGAAATGATCGATCGTGTTGGAAAATCCTCTTTCCTGATCTGGGACTCTTCCCTCTGGGGGAGCCTCCCGCCGTGGGGATGCAGGCGGACGCACAGGTAAAGCAGACATGGGCGTGAAGGCGGGTGGGGGGAGGGGAGGGGGAGGGGGACAGCACAGGCCTGAGGTGCCTCAGCAGAAGCTCCTCATGTGACTTCCAAATGGCTGTTTGGTTTCCTAAACTAAAAGGGTTTATGGTCATGGTACCTCCCCTGCAGGTGAGCATGGTCCCACCCGTTTGAAATGTCTGACAGGGGACCATGATTCCTGGTCCCACGGAAGCCCCTGTGGCCTGCGGTAGGCCCTCTGATGGCGTGGGTTTTCTGTGTCC